GGAATAATCCGATTTTTCGTTTTGGAAAAAGAAAGTGTTTTCTTTTCAAATTTAAGGGGCCGGCCCGGTGGCGCAGCGGTTAAATTCACACGCTCCGCTTCTCAGCGGCCCGGGGTTCACCGGTTTGGATCCCGGGTGTGGACATGGCACCACTTGGCACGCCATGCAGTGGTAGGCATCCCACATATAAAGTAGGGGAAGATGGGCAGGATGTTAGCTCAGGGCCAGGCTTCCTCAGCAAAAAGAGGAGGACTGGCAGTAGTTAGCTCAGGGCTAATCTTCCTCAAAAAAAAAAAAAAAAAAATTTAAGAGTGATCCAGGTAAACCCTACTTTAAATCAAAGAGGACTTAGAAAAAAGAGGATGCTATCTAACTATCCATGTAGTTAAACTCATCTGATCAAGGCTTTCCAAATTCACATAAACACTATTCCATGGATAAGAACTCATATGTATGTAAATTGTAAATAAAGAATAGGAATTAGGCAAATTGTGGGCCCGACATTTAACATACAATGTATTTAGAACTGAATTTGCTTGTATTGTATCTGGATTCATAAACCCACAAAGTAGTAATTGATTCATTCATTCATCCCTTTTACAAGTGTTCACTTTGTATTTGATGCCAATGAACCAGGTTTATGATATAAATAGCATGATCCCATCCTTCAAGAAGTGGTACACTATAGGAAAACTAACTAAACATAAAACATTTCCTAAGGGTTCCAGAGTGGCATGTAAACCAGGAAAGGGAGGGATGACTGACTGTGATTCTAGGAATTCAAAAGCAGGAAAGATGATTGTGGAGTCGCCTTCACGGAGGAAGTAAATCCAAAACTAGCCTTGATAAAAGGTAAGCTTGGACTTACCAGGAGGGAGAGGGCAGCATATTCCAATGGGAATTTTAAAGACATGAATGGAAATTGCACACATTAGGATTAGTAAGAAATCTAGTCTGAGTGGAGCAGAAGGTCTTGTGGGGAAAGAGCAAAATATCAGATTGGCTTCACAAGGGAGAGTGGATACAGATGGCCCAGATAGTGGGGAATTGGAATTGGATCCATCATACAACATGGAGATATTGGGCATGAGCAGGAGAGAATGTGATTAGGAAAGTCAATCTGTAGGATAAATTAGGAAAAGGAGAGCTTGAAGATGGAAAGACCAAATAGACTATTAGCTCCAACTGGGGGTGGGCTACAGAAGTAGTCCTGGGTCTGGGTTTGTTAGACAGACCCACCAGGCACTACACAATAGCAATCCAAATAAAGCGAAGGAGGATTCAACGATGACCCTAATGCTCAGAGCTTGACTCAGGGCTTGCTCGACTAGTAAAGTCAGCTCTTACCTTGTGGGGGCCAGTTGAGGGCCTCCACGCAGGATTAGATTCCGTCATGTACTATTCAGGAATCAGAACAATTTCCTGAAGGAATACTAGAAACCCTCTACTCTTCATGGAGAATGGCAGCCTTGAACCTTGATTCATAAACTGCCCCAACATCTGTGGTTTGAATCTGGCTTTTTTTTTTTTAAGGATATAGAAAGTCCATTGAGATAGCTATAAGAGTCCTACTATCTGCCTTCTCACCCTCTTCCTACTATCCTGCAGTAACAGGTTTTCCCAGCACCTCTGGTCTGACCATATCAGAGGTCCCTCCACGAGTAGCAATGACACCCTGGACGGTGGCTCTGAGACTGCTTTCCTATCTTGTTTATGTTAAAGCCCTATCATTTCCTCATCTGTAAGACTGTATAACTAATACCTACCAGATCTAGAAATCAATCATAAATAAAGATGCGAGGGATGGAATGTGAAATTAATGCTAGAATTTCCCCATAGTCCTCATGTATCATATGGCATTGCAAAAAAGTCCTTGAAATAGTCAGCCTTGATTTTTGTCTTCCTGCACATACCTCTGTGAAAGACGGCATTAGTTCAAGGATTTATAATGGAGTGAAAATAGCATAATAGACCGTATCATAAAAATGAAGCTAAGATGAGCAGTTTGGGGGTGCCCTATGAAACACGAGTTGACTGGCTTCGGCAAGTAGAAAATCTCCCTCAGCGTTTATTCACCTAGACCCCCCATCCCAATGGCATTCCTTCTCTTTGGGATTAAAGCTCTTCTGTAGTTAGAAAGGCAAGGTTTCTGTCCCCTTGCAAGCTCCCTGTGTTGACATAGGATGCTTAGACCTCTCTTTCTGGATCTTCCCATCATCCTTCTCATTGCACTTCAGCAGACACCTACCACAAGTTCTCTTTTTAGTACCCAAGTATCACATGCTGCTTGTGTCACTTTACTAAGTTATTTCACCTTTCTAAACCTCTGTTTGCTCCTCTGTGCAGGGGAGCCAATAACAGTATTTAGCTCACAGGGCTATTCTTAGTTTTAAATGACATTATGGTAGTATTATTATTGTTGTTATTATTACTCCACCATGAGACAGGCCAGCAGGGAATAGATTTAGGACAGGGAGCTGGACTTAGAACTCTGCTCATTTTTAGACAGTCTGCTCACTGAATCACATTGGCCAACAAGAAAAGAGAGACACTTTCACTTCACAAGTTGGAATTCAGCTTAATTCAATGGCAACTGAATCTACTGTTAGAATTATCCTGTCGAGGGATAAATTGGTGAATCCCCCTATTTTTCTCAGTATAACTTCCAGGTCAAAATAGTCATTAATCAGAGATGAACCTAACTTGCCTTGTTGTAGTCTCAACCAAATCACTTTGCATTGAATGTACAAAATATCAACCTATACATTTGATATTTATTCTAGGAAATCAAAATCTGCATAGACTTATTGAAACAGCAGAATGGCATAACTTTTGGTAACATGTCAACAAACAATTTGAGTTTTTGACAGTGCTCTCTTTCTTAACTAGAACTAATTATGTAAACTTTGGTCTTTTGGTTTTTCTTAGAACTTGATTTGAAAACTGAATTTGAGGCTTATGAGATTTGTGAAATTCTTCAAATTTGAAGAATTATACAATTCCTTTACGGTCATCTTTTCAGTTGAAATACAATGCCTCCATTGAATAACCATCATTTCCAAAAGTGTATTCCAAACTTTTGTTGTAATATTATAAAATGTAATGTTAGGATGGGTAGGAAACAGAGATCATTTCCTTCTTTTTACAGGAGAGGTAACTGACATTCAGAGAAATTAAGTAACCATCTATAGTTAAACATCTAGTAAGTTATTAAATATTGCAGCTACTGTATTATTCAAAAATTTTATCACAAGTTATTAGCCTTGAAGTCCAATGTTTTTTCCACAATACCAGTGCATGCCAATGTTATCATTGTTAATTTCCTAGAGAAATAAATCTACTTTGCAGTTGGAAAATGGCAATTGTTTAGAATTTTTCATTGTCTGTCTGAAGGAAAATTTAAATATTTCATTGACAATTGAGCCAAAATGTATGATATCTTCATTTCACAAGTGACAAGCGCCCTCATGCAGAAGATGAAAACCTTTTCTTGAGTTTTCAGTACCATGATAGCTTAGTAGCCTCCTGCTTTAGTCACCCAGCTCCAGTGTCAAAAAGAGAGGAAGAGAGAGAGACATCCAGCTGAGAATCAAGATCTCGCTTCAAAGCTTTTATCTTCAGAGGAAAGAAATCTTGTGAATTTCATTCATGTCAACAAGATGTGAGAAGACTTGAAGTATTTAAGCCCTTGGGCATCTCTAGCATGCCAGATGCTGTGGTTATTAGAAGTTTTTGGTTGCAAAACCATCTCAACTTCGATTCACACCCCCCATGAACCAAGGCTTTGGAAATATCCATTGTACAGTGACACTTAAAGGTATGTTGAAAACCATCACTTTCCAAGAGGAGATGAAGTCAGCCAGGGAAATGGTAGTTAAACTTAGGCCAAAACGGGAAACACCCGGAATTCTGAATGGGGTGACACATGTTATGGTTAAGAAAAAAAAAAAGATCAGTCCTCTCAAAGTACCGTAGCAAAGCTATAAAAGAAAGTGAAAGAAGCATTTGTTTAGGATTCTAAAAGCAGATAACCTCAAAATATCTCCCCAAAGCGTTCGTTCTCTTACTCAGTGTAGAAAATGAATTAGATCCTAGATTTTCTTCCTCTCTTTTCTTTCTCCTCTGTTCTCTCATCTCCAAAAAGGATCAGACTGGAATTCACAATTATTTCTACTGTAATTTTCCAAACTTTATGGGAGAAAGTCCTTTTATTCCAAAATAGGTAATGCTATTTCTATAAAGTAAATTGAGTCCAAGCTAACCCCAAATAAACATATTTCTACCCAAACTAATGTTGACAATTTAATTGAGGTCTTGAAATTGAAAATTTCTTAAAAGATAAAATATATCTGTCTTTTTTCCCTTTCTTAAGTCAGATTAAAAAGAAAAACACTCAAAAGCAACCATTTCTAAACTCATAAATATCATGAGTTACCTTTTTAATATCTTTTTTAAATGATGTTATCTCTTTAATAAATCTCGTTTGGAAAATGTTAGTTTTAGTCCATAAAAACTGACATTTCTGCACAACTAGAAGGCCCTATAGCTAGAATATACAACTATGTACTTGGGGGCTTTGGGGAGAAGAGGAAAAGAAACCCCTGACATTTTTGCTTAAATATCCATAAGTTCAAATGGGGAATTACTGTTTGGGTCATCTCAATTTTATAACTGCTAAATCCACGAAACCCAAAAGGGAAATTTGTTCAGAATCATCCAACAGAAAATCTGTGATGGCTTAATGTCATCAAGAAACATCATAATAATATTTGCAATAGGTTCCACCTGCATGTACCTGCCAAGACCTGAACCCAGGCCCCAGGGCTCCCTTTATTTCTCCACATCAATGACATCACTGACACCCAAGAGGAGGAACACAGCTTTGGCTGTGACTGATGCCATCAAAGGTTACAAGTCTTGACAGGTAAAACACCTTTCATCTGGGCTCTAGAGCTCTTGAAATTTTTTAGTTCAGCATTTGAGAAGCCAAAAAAAAAAAAAAAAAAAAAAAAAAACGCCTTATCTGATCCAGAAAAGAAAGATTTGGCTTCTTCTTTTACCATTTTTTTTTCACAGCACTCAGTGTTGCTTCAGGGAGCCCGTCCAGCCCCAGTGGGCATGCACCATAGGACAAGAGTTCTTGCTGCAGGCTACACTCACCAGCCATTTCACCTAGGGACATGGGGTGACAAATGTGCTCTCTGCAAGTCACTTTCTATCGATGGGCATTCTCACACTGAGAAAAGCTCCAGGCTGGACGTGGCCTGGATTCACGTTCAAATACCGTGCATGCAAAGCGGCCACACTTGACAACACACCAGACTCCACACACAAATGGCCAGAGAAACAGTGGTAGACCAAGGGAGGGTGTAGCCAAACCATGATGCGTCAGCAGCAATTTATTTCAAAGCCTTGGTTTTTATGACTGTAATTTAGCCTTAGGTGCGCTGAGAGAATCGGTCTGCCTGGCTCACTGTCTGGTGCTGCCAAAGGCTACAGGGAATGTTGTTCCATCAGGTTAATCATCGTTTATTTGTCTGAGGTATTTGCAAATTTCTACAGTTACTTAAAGTGCTATTGTACACCTCAGAGGTAACATGAACCATTGTTGTTACTGAGCACAGCCAGTTGCATCATGACATGGGAGCTTCCAAAAGTTAGAATTTAGTGTGAAGAAAGATGGGTAACGATAGTCTGGACATCACTTGAGTCATCCCTTATCATTTCCTGATTCACTCAGGTGGTTTTTGAGTTTCCCAAGCTAGTGTTTTCTCTAAGAATGTTTAGTTCCCTGGCTTTTGAAAGAACCCAAGTCGTGAGCAATTTCAGGAGGACAGGTGGGGGTGGGCACCGACGCTTTCCTTCCTGCGGACCCACTGTCTCTCTGTTGCATGATCCTGCTCGTCCCTCTTAGGATGCAAAGCTGCTGCTTCAGCTACGACTTGTGCAAAATTGACAGAAGCGCTTCTTTTCCCGAAATCGTGCCTATTTATTTTCTTATTCATGAAAGTACAGGTAGATTTCATAAATTATTTCATCTGTTGGCACCAAATGAATAATACTTCACGTATGTTGAATAAACATCCTGAAGAAAGCAATTGTGTGTTTTATATTTCTGATGCCTTAAATAATGCTTTCATTTCCAAATAACTCCTTTGTCTATTACTGTTCATATAAGAACATCTACACATTTAACATCTAAGAGTGTTTGTCAAAGCACATGAAAGTCAGAAAAATCCAAATTTGAATGGAACTCAGGATCCTGAGTCTCCCCATGGCCATCCATCCACTCTTTTACTGCTCTTCATGTCTCCAAGATAAAATGACTCGCATGTCTGACATGGACAAGAGTTCTCTTGGGACACAGGTTCCAGTGGCAATCTAAGTGGTAAGGGAGATGCCCACTGCACTGAGGCTCTGAGGTCAGGGTGCACAAGCCCGGACTTATTTCCATGGCAGGTGTACGTGATCATTGTATTCTCCAAGAGGACGGCCAGGTAGGCTTCCCCAACTTGATGACAAGCTCCCCAAAGGCAAGAGCCTTTTTTTTTTTTATATTGCATACCCTGCAGCGCCTAATAGAGTGTTCAGTCTACACAGAGAACATCATGTCATAATAACGGCTGTTGGTGTCACGACCAAAAGTGCTCTTCAGTGTGGTGAAGCAATGCGTCAAGGCCAACTGCAGCACCAACTTGGGAAGACCTTGCTCAGACTTGTCCTGATTTCCGGCTTTGCTTTTGATTTTTTCTTTTTTCCTGTAATAGTAGTAACTCAATAAAGGAAAAGAACAAATCTTCTACACAGTCTAGAAATTCCAAAAGTGCTAAGACAATATTTCATAAAATCCTACATGGTACATGTCCGCTGCCGGACCATGTCCACTGCATAGAAGTTATCTGTGTGAAATGTAAATGTGTCTCATAGACATGTCCTTTGCGGTGGCCCTTGGTGGTGAGGTGTTATGGCAGTCACTTCACAGCCACGAGCTGAGTTCATGGACCGGGAGAATACCGTTGCCAGATGAAAGACTGGGATATACGCGCATCCCAGTTCAGACCAAAATGGCACCTAGAAAGAGAAAGCATCCCGGTTAGGACAGTATAAAGAGGGTTAGATAGAAAAAGAGTATGTGTGTGCTTAAACATATTGCCTACATAATCAAAAACAATGTCAACATTCAGGATCATAAATGCACTTAAAATCATTCCTAACAGGGAACAACTTTCAAGCAGTAGCTGCATGCCTTCTGCACGCAAGAATCTTTGAGAAACTAAATCTGTTGTTCTACTCTGCTAGCATATTATCCCTTTAGAAACGCAAAGTCTGGTTTAAACCTTTGTTATAGTCCTATTTGTTTGTTTATAAATAAAAGATATCTTTTCCATCATCAATGTATCTTTCCAGCTGCTGGATATAAGATAGACTCCTAGTTTCCTAAATTGAAATGTCATATTCCTAATCAGAATTGACAATTGTAAGTCACCATCTGGGTTTATTTTAAAGTGCCGTATTCTCACAAGCGAATTTTCCAACAGCATCATATGTATTTAAAATGATAAGCTCAAGCTTACCACCTTAAATTCAGATTCTCAAGGAACCTGACAATATAGCAGCTTTGAAATAGACACCACATTGCTCACCTGCCTCTCAACGTGGTTTGACTCTGAACTTGCCCTGCCATCATTACAGCATGCAAAATAAGGGACATGTTCCCTTTTCGGTCTTTTTTTCTGCCCCAGTGATACGCATTCTGTAACCACAAAATATTCCAACTCCAACTCACTTTTTGAATAAGCAACTTCTATTCTGCTCTGTTCTCTTTATCACTTGGGTTTATACACTATTGAGAAACAAAAAAGCTACATAGTTTACTTACTCCTACAGTTAAATATTTTTTAAAAAGTAAGAATAGGTTATTATGGAAATAAAGTGTTGCTTGTCATTGTAGCATTCTGGAAGGCAGTGGAAAAAAGAGGGTGTGTTAAGCTTTCCATTGTGTGCAGACTTGCCAAATCCCCTCTGCCTCCATCAGGAAAATATGTCTGTCCCGTGATCTATTCAGTTCTTGACCTTTTGACTAATATGCCAACAAAAGGCACCATTTATTAGTGTTTAATTTACGTATCCTCGTCCATAAGGGACTGGATCGAGGCTGTCACAACTCAGCACCATCACCAATTATATTTCCCATGTGCTTTCCAGGGGGTTTCTGCTGTGGGCTTGGCTGTCCTATGCAAACCTAGGTCATGCCACCTTCTCCCTAAATCTACCTCTTTCGTGACCAGGAGGGGTTTATCAGGAATATCATCTGGGGACAGGAGGCACACAAAGATCAGCCAAAGACTCTCGCTGGACATTCCTCACCTTCCGATGGGAATCCTGGGAAGCTGATGTTGTTCCTAATAGATACGTTCTCCATTATCCATCTCCCTTGTCACACATGTTATCTGTCCCTGTCTCTCCTGCCCCTTTTTCTGACTCCTTTGTTGCTTTTGTCCTGTCGTCTTTTGGACTTTCTTCCTTAACATCTTTTCTTTACACCTGTAACAAATATCAGCAACTCCCCTCCAACACACACCCGCACAAGCTTCCTCCTCCTTCACTCTTAATTGAACCCAAAGACCTTCACCTGTTGGAAAGTTCCCCAGTGGATGGAAGTGGATTGATACCACGTGGTCCTCTCTAGTGGGCAATCCTGACTGCACTGACTCTTTTCTCAGACCACCCTACAAATCTCCAAAAAGAAAAAAAAAGGCCGATTCACTGTGCATTTGTCTACATTTTTGTTTTTAAAAAGTTTCTCTTTTGCTCAAAAACAATAGGGCAAGAACCCTTTTGTCCAAACATCTTATTTTTCATTTATTCTATCTAACTGTCATAAATGGATATTTTGGACGATCAATTACTCTGTAAATCAAACTTTAATGTAAATCCAGCTGTCCAGGTCATAGCAGAAACGCTCCCACCATGAAGAAGGAAAAAAGCACCTAATTACGATAGCTTTGTGAACCATTTTAAGTTCATTTTTATGAAAAATTGATAGGCACTATAGCTATATGAGTCATAATCTCTTTCTGAAAATTAGTAATATTTCTGCCTGCCTTACCCCCACCAAAAGAAACTAATCAGGAGAGCAATTCATTATCTCTGTGTTATAGAAGACAGTGATATTTCTCTAACAAGTTTCTGGAAAAATCAGGCAAAAGAACTGCTTATCTATGCTGTGTGGGATTGGAATTGTTACTTTTATTACTGATCTGAACCATTACTCAGTCTTTTTTAAAATGTCCAAAATAACTGGGCATTATATAACTCTATTATATTCACATTTAAGCAAGATAAACATTTTGGAGGCATATTTGAAATATGAATAAAATAAATACTTTATCTGGTAAAGCACACACTTTCAAGTTGCACCCTGTAGCAGTCCATGGCCTGAGCTCTCCTCCTCACCCGCCTCAGCCCTCTCAGCCCACACTGTTGCACTTGACTTTCATCGTTAGCTAAGACAGGGGTAATGTCAGCAGAGGCTCAGTAATGTCTCGCTACCTGGGAGAATAAATGTTGTTGAAGCCCTTGGAAATCTGTGAGTGGACTGCCCCATGAATGTGTGTAACGGTTATCATTAGAGAAAAAACTCATGGGATTTATGAACTCTGGGTTGAAACAAAAGGTCTCCCATATTTGTCAGACTCCCACACACTTGGGTAATTCCTCTAACATCTCAGGGGTTGGGTGCGATCAGATACTTCCTATCCAGATGGTTTGAGAATGAGTTTTCTGTGTAGAGTGGAGTACTACTGCCACACACCTAGGTTCCCAAGGCCATCAAAGGCCAACCCTAGGACTTCCGCCCTCACAGGGCCTGAGAGGCACCTACAATGGTCACTTCCAGGTTCTGTCAGGCCAGGCCTTAGTGGGGTCCTCTAGGCACCCCATGGGGCTGACCACCTATCTGGACTTAGACTCCAACACTAGCAGTGGCACAAATTCCCTGTGAAACCATCACTATAACTGTCATCGAAATGTTCATTAGTCAATCAGGAGCAGCCACAGCAGGAAAGGCAATTTCCTCCTAGCTCACCTGCATCCAAGTGAGGCAAATAATTTCAGATAACTGAACACTTGGATTAGTGATACTTACAGCAGAAAGAGTTCACTCTGTGGACGAAAGCAACAAAGACACGGGTAAGGGCTGAGTCTCTCATTCCACAGTGTGTCCATTTCCAATTACAAAGGGCCAACACCCTAATCTGATGATAGAACATTCCTTCTGAATATACCGGGTTGGGATTTTGAAGGACTCAGGGTCCAAGAGGACACTCCTTATTGCAGTTGTCAGATTTGAGAAAGAGGTTCCCTGACTTGTGATCTGTACTATAACCATGATTAACTCACTTTCATTTACTCTATGTCTTTACTTTAGATTAATTTCCATCAGCTCCAATGTGGGATTTTGTACTTTTGTATATTTGGTACCACTCCTAAAACTCTGCAAGATCACAGAAAAATGTTAAATGCTATGTCTCCTAACATGCATTCAGAGAAAACGCTGAGACTGACGTGCAGGACCTTTTGGGAAACTGCAAAGAAATAACGGGCTTCTTTGTGTTTGCATGAACCAGTGAACTCCGGAGACGGCATTGACTACAGCCAGCAGAAGAGGGAGAACATCGGAGACCTGATCCAGGAGACGCTGGAAGCCTTTGAGCGCTACGGAGGAGAAGATGCCTTCATCAACATTAAGTACATGGTTCCTACCTACGAGTCGTGCTTGCTAAACTAACGGTGGGAACAGCTGGGAGTAGAGGAAGGCATCCCTCAGTGTTCTGATCATCTGTCTCTGCTGCTTTTAGCATCTCATTATTTGTGACTTCTATAGCTTTCTTTTCTACAGCTGCTAAAATAGTGGCTTGTGGGCCATGGGACTGTTAGCCCTATTGAGAGCAAGGCTTTCCAATACATAAATAGTGCCTGTTTCTTAGATTACAATAGTGTACTGTGCTTATTTGTTCTAAGAGAAGAATTGCTTCTTTATACAGCTCGCACAGAAGCAGGAGTCCGAGTTAAACCTTCAGTTGTACAGACAATAAAACTATAATTTTCATACGCAATTCAGCAATTGCTGTTCTGTGTCTGCCTGCCCTGAGGGTGATGTCAGAGGTTGTAAGGGAGAGTTTATGCTGACTGCTTAATAGGTGTTTGTCATGGAAGAGAAACCCCAGTTCAGCAGCACCTCTCTAGCAGCTGTGCGGAACAATGTGCTTTGACATTCAATAAAACTGTTGAATCTATATTCCAATTACAGAAGGACAGTTTCGCAGTCCGTTATGAAACTCAGCTATAAACGTAATTGATGCTTCTAGCCCGCTAGCGATCTGGGCTGGCAGGGGCTTTCCAGTTGACATTTGGGTGGGGTGGGGGAAGACTGGGAGAAGAGATGGGGGCAGGGTTAGGTGGGAAGTGTCACATGGCCAATCTTATTTTTAAAATGCTAGATTGAATCTTTGTCCTTCCGTAGTATGACATACCGCATCTCAGGACCCGATGTGTTATTGACAAAATGTTATCCAGCCGTTTGTTTAGGGCTCTCGATAATTTTTTAAAATGACTTATATGCATCTTAGTGATTACACCTTGAAACAAATTGAATTCTGTTCCTTGGCAATTCTTTCCTCTGCTTCTTCCCACCAGTGGAATGGGTTCTCAGAGCACATCTCTGTGGGTATGATGGTAGTATTTTGGAATTTTATTGAGACCAAAAAAAAAGACAAAAGATATGCACTCTTTTGTTTAACTGAGAAAGAGAAAAGGCACCCAAAGAGAAGACCAACTGTAAGACAATCCGTCCTGACAATGGCTTTTCAGGCACACCGGGCAGCCAGCTCTGGGCATCTGAAACCCAGCCCAGAAAGATTCATAAAGATGGAACACCAACTCCACACACCTGAGAAATACTGTACCTGCCCAGAAATGCATAGTCCAAAGTATCCCATTCTGTAGCAACGTGCAGTTTCCGCACAAAAGTGAAGAAATAAATGTGTTCCCCCACATACCGAACGTTGACC